ATTTATACATCAACGTATTTATAGCTAATTTTACTCTTTCATACCTTGACATTGGGCTGCTCTGGAACCCTTAAAACTAATTTCATTTTATATCAACGTTTTGAAATGATAAATAAGACTCCTTAAAAAATAATTATCAAATGGCATACTGTTTTTATTTCCATCATTTTCGCATTTGACTGTGTTTATTTTCTTCATTAAAAGGAAAACAGAATACGGAGAAAACGGCTGAGTTAAAACAACAGAAGAAAGACAACAGACAACCAAAGTAAAACTTCAAGAGCAGCGGGTATCCTTTCTTTGTGTGTTGTAGTCAGAACCTGTGGTAATTACACAATATTAATCAGGGTTGTATATATCTATAGCTACAGCTTAGTATTTAGTATTAATGTGTATCCGTGAGAATCTCAAACTAAATTCATGAGCATACTGTGTATAAAAGATTTACAAGCTTCTTCAGAAGGAAAGTATGCTTAATAGAAGATGTGGTTGGCCCCAGACAAGCCCTAAAGGGCCCACGCCTGTAAAAGAGGTGACACAAGCCCCATTATCCAGAGACAAACACCCAACCAAGTAGACAGAAACAACTTCATACCATACTTATGATGAAAAAAATACTAAATATATTTGGGGATATGATCAGGTCTGGATATCATCACAAACATTGTTTTGATCTATGAAGAAAATTACTGACATTTCTTGATACCATAAGTTTTTTTTTTTGTTTACAGCTATAGCTCCTGGACTCCCTGAATTGGGCATCTCTGGATCCTTGGACCCTGGGTTTTTAACTTACTTGTTCAGATTTCCACATTAAATACAGTACTGTACACCTAGGTCCACCATGTTATATTGAACAGACAAATAGTAGTAGCTCCTCCCATTTAAGTGATCTTGGAGTTGTCCTTGATACCTGTAAAGTATTGTACGGGCGAAATATCTAATGACCTACAGCACGTGAATGATGCAGAAAATGTGCTAGAATCACACTCATACATTTTTTAATGTTCCTAAGGCAACAAGAATAATAAGGAATGTATTTTTCTTGTAGATTTTGCAACAAGATTGAAATTTTCAAGCTTGGGGACCGTTGTGTCTTTAAAGGAGGAATTTTAGGAGTTTGTAATGGGTTAGAGAAAAGAGTTCTTATTTTATAAATTTGATACAGTTGAAGTAAGGCTTTAATCAAAGGCAGCCTGTCCTTATTTTGCTCATAGTGAAAACTGGTTTGGAAGGATCAACTTGACTTTAAAGTACTTAATCATGGGAAACAACTGAGCTACATATTAACTTTAAAAGCAGTTTATCGGATTGGGTAGATGACATACCAATATCTTTCCTGCAATCTTCATCACTCTTGCTAAGTCCTTCATACCTTGTGTCAGTCACTTCCCACACCACACTGTCATGGTAAGACTCAGGATGCATTCACTAAGGGACTGTAGAAGTTTGTAAGCAGCTGTGTAAATTAATAACGCTTCACCAGGTCTTTGCTGAACTTGATTGCATGCTGAAGAGTTAATTCAGTCATTTGAATTAGCTGTGTAGGACCAGGGATGCATCTAAAATCTGCAAGACGGTAGATCTTGGGGACCATGTATTGAGGCCCCTGTTCTGAAGCTAAATGCAGGCTGTACTGGCTAACAGGGATGGTGTTATTGATGGACTTAACACCAGGCATGCAGTATGTGATTTTCCAGTTGTGCAACAAATCAGGCTGACTCTTGGACAAATTGTGTGTCGTGCATCATGCAGTATACAAGGGGCTCACTTGAGAAAATTGGCACCTTATAGCTTTGCATGTCGGTATTGTACAAGACTCCAACCTGTCTTTGAGGACGTACAGCGTGAGTAATCAGATCACATCCAAGAGTCGGTTCATACAGTGTGAGGACATATTTGAACTCTGCAATTGTTGCGCACATTTGAAGTTGGTGCTGCAAGCAACGACTGAAAAAAATCTCACATTCTATCCCTGGCTTTAGGAGGAAACTTTCAAAGCACTTCAAGATGACTGCAGTCAAGACGGTAATTATTGAAATAGGTGATGGTTGAATTTATGGGCACAGGTAAAATTATGGACAACTTCAGGTGGCAGAATTAAGTCAACAGCTTTACACAAAAGGAAGGTGGGTTCCTCAAAATGTCTCATGGTGGCAACTATAAGGATGCTGTTCTTTTGGCTCCTTGAGACAGTAGCTGTCCAACATTAATGGTCCATT